CAAAATAATAGTATATACAACATTTCTTCAAATTTGGAAAGAAGTTGTATCTTATATTCAGTTTATGACTAAAGTATCAGATTTATGTGACAAGTGTAAACAACTTTGTGCTGAAATTTGGGCTACTAATAATATTAAAAATAAACAAAAACTTCAAGCTATATATGACCTTCACTATACAACTGCAACAGTTGAACATGATTACTATAATAAAAATATTTTAGTTAGTAAACAGTTAAAATCTATTATTTATATTTGTTATAACTGAGCTTAAAATATATCTATTTCTTATATACTATAACAATCTGAAAGTTTGTTTTTTAGATTATTATTTAATATTCATTTTTTTGGAGTTACTAATACTAGTTTAGAACCTACAATACAAAGAAACTATATAATTAGAGAATACCAATTTCTAATAAAAATATCTAAAGGGGCTAATACTACATTTAACCTTGTATATAATAGTTTACTTAACTGGAATCTATTACAAAAATATCTAAAGATTATATGTGACAACTGTAGTAAACAAAATAAAAATAATTTAACACTTTGGTTTTACTCATAGCTTATAATTATTAAATGTTTTAATAAAATTGAACTTAATTTTATAGTTTCTAGACATACCAAGTTTATTTATAATTCACATTTTGGAATAATTAAATCACAATATCAGAAGCATAATATTATGAGCATAGATCATATAAAAACAATCATTAATCAATCAAAAAAAGATAGAAGTAATATAGCTGTTAGATATAATAAAAATGAAAAAATAAAATAGAATTATTATGATTTTGAAACTTTTCTTAAATCTTATTTTAATAAGTATGATGATATATGAGTATTTCAGCTTTTTTATTTCTATCATGATAAATCTAAAAAAATGTTTATATTATTAGAAGCTAATGTTGCAAAAATTGAAGCAACAATTCATAATAATATTTATTTTGATCTATACAAATCTTTAGATATAATCCCTTTAAAACCATTATCTTTAAAATGTCAAACACAATTATTTAAAGAGATTTGTCCATATGTTCATGATCCCTATAAAGATAAATTATGCTTTACTCCAAATAAGCATTAAAAAAAGCTTTTTTGCTTCTAATATATGTATATTTTACCTTTTATTAGATTTTTCTTTTCTTTTGTAATTTTCCTTCGTATTAACATTAGAGAAGTATCTTACCTCTTAATGCAGTTCTGCAGTAGTCGATGTGAAGATCACACCTTATTTTGGTATAGTACTAACCGTCAATCTAAATTTAGAATGTAAAAACTGGATGCGATAAAAAACTGCGCACCAATTTGAGTTAAATTTTATTATTATAATATATCAAAATTTTTACCAGATATAAAGCATGTATTTGGGAATTCAACCCAATAAAAATCACAATTTCGGTTAAAACCTCTCAAAGCATGGTTTTGCTGTGTGCCAACCTATATGAGTTTGTCAATTTTTTCCACAAGTATATACGTCATACCTGTTGAATAAACTTTGACGACCGTATTAGTCAAATCATGCCAGATAACAAAAAATAATGATATTTTTAAAATTTAATTATTTTGTTACATTTTTGAATATGTCAGATAATAATAATTTAAATAAAAAATCCAATCCTAGTAGTCGGCCTAGAGCAGAAATATGGAACGCTTATATTGTTGGTGAAAAAAAAATAGATTTTTATTCTGCTAAATGTGAACATTATTCAAAATCTTGGCAAAGAGAAATACCGAATGTAATGGAATTGCATTTAGCTAACGAATATTCTAATTGTCCGCAAGACAAACAAGAATATTGACAAGATAAAAGTAATAATTAACATCAAGCAAACGTTATGGAAATATGGACTTTGAAGCATCGAATATATACAGTAGTTGATGAGATCTTAGGAACTGAGATCTATAATGATTAATTGTTAAATTATATATAGTAAAATGTAAAATGCTATATAGTAATATATTAAATAACTTATGAACAAAGAATGCAATGCTTAATAAATTTTTAAATTTTCGTTCTTTTTGTTTTATTGCGTATAAATATCAGTTTTACGTTCTTATTGGTTTATTGCATATATAAATAGTTTAACAGTTTATATTTTGATAGTTTTTACAGTTTAGACTAAACTTCGAAAACATCAACTGTATAAACCTTTAAAGTAGCTAGTTTATATTTTAACAAATGTAGAACTGAGTTATGACGGCATCACTAGTTCGGAGCACTACATGCGAAAAATTAACGCGAAATTCACGTTCTTTCTTTATTAGTGAAATAAAAAATTTAATTCAATAATAAATAAAAAACTATTTAAAATTACAAATATTAAGAAAAAATGCGATTATAAAAATTCTTTGTCAAACAAGAATGTAATAAAAAAAATGAATAATAAATTAAATTATTATAAAAATAAAATAAAAATTCTGTCAAAAATAAAATGAAACATTTATATCATTACAAGAATATAATAAAATGAAATGAAATTACATAAAAATACTTTCAAAGTTGTATCTTCAGAAATGGGCTTTAATGTCATGATAATGCTTAACCCTTTTTTTGAATACCTCCATTCTGTGATCCAATTCTTTTATAGTACTTTTCAAGTCGTCCATAAGCTCCTCATGTTTCTTTTGAAACTCACTTATGTATCCTCCACCATTTTTGATACCAATAGCCTGAGTTATGCAAGCAACGTATGCCAAAAGGACGAAAATAGTGATTACAAATTTCGTGGTTGTGAATTTCATGATAGCTGTTTCTTAATACGATAATTTTTTGAGATTATCTTAAGAGCAAGATTTAAGTTGATTTTGTAATGGAATAATGAAGATAAGTATCTGGATAATTGTAAAAATTTGATTGTATTTATATCTTATTCTTCCTATATGATGTACCGTATATTACCGAAAATAAGCACCCCTTCGGAGGATTTTTTATAGCCAAATTTCTCGTGATCTGGTAATCGGATCTGCGTAATTTCGGTACCATTCGAATCGTTTTGATAATTTGATTCGAATGGTACCGAAATTACGCAGATCCGATTACCAGATCACAAGAAATTTGGCTATAAAAAATCCTCCGAGGGGGTGCTTATTTTCGGTAATATACGGTAGTAAATTTTGAAAAAAAGCCCGATCTTTTCTTTTTAATTTAAAACGTGAATATCGCAAGAGTGCCAATCTTATATTTTTTATTGTAAATAAAAAGACAATTCAGTGAATAATTTAATGTTAATTATCAAATATATGACTGTTATTAGTGGAATGGATAAAAAATGTTACGATTGCCAGTAGAATCACATGTAGGATTGGTCAAATATGTATCTCTTCGTATGTAGATTTCACATGTTTACTATGTTTTCGCAGGCAATTTTGCCTGTGTAACGTATTAAGAGATAACAAAACTATGTGTACGTAGTATCATATGGGTTCATTCAACAGCAAAACCATGCTTAGAGTATATATAAAATATATGGTTTTGCTGTGAATGAACCTAATTAATTATACCAGAAACAGAGTGTAACGATGTGCATGGTTTATTGCATGTGTTTTTAATGTGATATGACAGTATGAATATGCAAAAGTATTTTCTAATTTGGATTAAACCAAAAACTGTGTAGTAAATAGTTACTATATACAAATACTGTATGAATTTCTACGTTAAGGTTATACGTATGACTTTTAATGTTCTTTATTTTGATCAGAAATAATCGAATATTAGTCAAAGTAAAGTATAAATGTGCCTAAATTATTTTTGAAAAAAGGTATTTTCGACAAACATTTGAGCATTGCTAATTTTTTATATGAAACGCTCCGAGATATTTTGATAAAAAGAGTTCAGCAAATATGAAAATTAATCGGCAACATGAAAATTAATCGGTAACTATGAATGACTGACTAAATGCCGTTTGGAACCGGTTTTAAAAATTCGAGTTTATTACACCGAAATTCGAGTTTATCACATCTATCAGCACCGCGATAATCTACATGAATAGGGTACATCTATTTGAGTACACCTATTTACCCACCAAGATGTTTATGATGATCCAATGTTCGATGATTGTCCATGCAAATTCAACTACCAATTTTACTATTAATACCTTCTGTTAGAGTTTGGAACCGGGTTTAAAAATTCGAGTTTATCACATAATAAATGATTAATGTAATAAACTCGAATTTTGCTGTGATAAACTCGAATTTTTACGTGATTAACTCGAATTTTTAAAACCGGTTCCAACCTCTAGTAAGGACTATCGGTCCTAATATTAGATATTATTAATTATACAATATATCTACTAGTAGGCCATTCTCAAACTCCATCCTCATTAGGTTTACCGGCTTGCCAATTATTATAGGTCGAAAAATCCTGAAGATATTAATTTTTTTCATATAGTTACTTTGATTGGCTGAAATTTGAAATCCTAATTTTCGCACAATGAATTTTTGGCGAAATTATTACAGCGATCGATTCAATTAATCACAATGATTGAGCAACAACCAGATAATTAACAAATTACATTGAGGGAGTTGCTTGAGAACACCCTTAATTGGTCTAATAATCGGTCCATCCAATCCAATTCTAAACAGTCCTATTTGGTCCCGGACTGCAGCCTGATCCGATCTTCTAAAAGATCATCAGTCTTTGGACCAGGATGGACCGATTAACAGCCCTATAGAAAACCTAAAAGTAATCGATCCAAAGAATGCTTCTGAAAGACCAAAAATAAGCCTCGCTATAAAAAAGGTCCCAATAGTATCTGAAATAATCAATGCCTATCATGACGATTCATATGACCAGGCTGACGTAAAAGAATTTGACCTTGAAGAACTTCATCAGGAATTAATAGCCGAATGTAATTTCATTGCAGAAATTGGTTTCTTTAAAAAGAAAAAGCACCTATAATTGGAGTTGAAGTGAACAAACACAAGGCATTTAAACATTATAGAAAGGCCTCTAACATAGAGAACTCCAGAGAGATGAATGATCCTGGATATTGCCACCAAAAAAGAATAAAGATCAAACAGAATAAATATAATACATTCATCAATCATCAAAAATCGGCTGATAACAATCGTGTGGGTGAAATATCTTATCTTGGACAATGTTATGAAAATGGATTTGAAGTTATAAATGAAAACCCTGAAGCGGCCTAAAGAAATGGTTTGAGTTAATAAATTTTATCAAAATAGTGAATGGCTCAAAAGTGGAATTGGCGCAAAAACGGATAAAAGTGATACACTCATCCCTGACGAAAAATTGATGAATGGAGATTTTAACAGAATATATCGAGTCAATCAAAACAGATTATATGCTGACATGGATAAATATATAGTCTTCACTTATCAAAAATCTACTGACACGGAGTTTGCTATTTGTATCCAAATTTTATAATTAAATTGATTCAGCAGTAAAAATTTAAAGCCTGAAATATTGTTTCCTTTCATTGTCAATTTTTAAAATCGGCTTAGCCGGCTATGACTAATATACTATTACGACTTTGCTGAATTCTTCCATAATCGCCTTCTAAATCTTGAATGCGCCCAACTCATTTAACCTGCAGTCGGTAACTATAGTTTTTTCGACCACTATTTTGCTTAACTACACTTATACTTTTAATGACTGATCAATATCGTAAATCATATAATATTTTACTAAATAACTGATTACATCAAAAAATAATTATCTATTACCCTGGTATTAGAATTTTAATATCGAAAAAATTAACTCCAAAATAATTCCTAAACTAAATGTTTAGGGCACAACTAGTTATCTTATAATTCAATTAAATTTTATGAATCTGAAAGAATACCTAAAAGTGATAAATTATGTTTTGAGAACACAAGGTAATTAAAAATATCAAGATCTAAATAATGATTTTTTTTTTCATCTGGGAACAGTCCTCCATTAGGCACGGAAAAAGCTGGAATTGATAAGTATTTTTTAGCAAGTTTTGTCATCGTAGGAAACAAATATTTATTCTCACTCCACCATATCAAGGGACTATTTTCTTCTGTTACAGGCAATTGAGGTAATTCAAGATACTGATCAAATTTTGTTTGCCCATAATTTTCCTTACCAAACGTCTGGAAAAATTGTAACATTTTCGAATCTTCTTTTTTTATTGCTGTTATAGAGTTGGAAGCTATCTGATCTGCAAGTTTCGTATATTGTTCTCGAAGATTATTAATAATTGTGTGATTTAATTCCTATGTTGAGAAAATATTTTTTAATAACAAAATAATATTATGGTGTAGTCAAATTATAATGTTCATATATTCACATCGTTAGTATAAAGTAAATTTTGAAACGAGGATCAAAAAAAGACCCATAAAGTCCAAGAGTCGAAGGCACACCACAGTACTTTTTAAGGTTATCCTATCTAAATTCATCACAATTCATATCTACTTACTATTAATTATAAATTTAATAATCAAACTAATTATGAATGATACTTTTATCGATAATTTTATATTTCTTATAAAAACATCGGTTTACCTTTCTTAGGCGAAACTTGTTAATATGTAAAGCACGAAAATATCAATTTTAGGATATTCTATGCAATAACTAATAATATTAGGTTTCAAATAAATAATAATAGTTTAATTGTTGACTTAAAGATCAATCGATTACATATAATTAAGCTTCATGATCATACGTCTCACAAATTCAATAAAGCAAAATATTCAAAAAAGCTTTTAATATTTAAAAAATTAGAGAATTCTTCCCCTCTAATAATTTTTTGATAAGAAAGTAGATTCATTTTCTGTAGTATAAAGAATTATAGTTCTCTTTAAATTTTTTAACTTTGAAAGTCAACAGACTACGATTCCTTTTCTCATTAGTGTAATAACTTCTAAATCGAATAGTCCAAATTGTGCTATAAAGAGTTTATCGTTAAAATATTCAACGTTAATAAGGTTGCCAATTGTTGTTGTATTAAAACAATCAATACGGTATGGAAAGAGAAATAGCATGAAAGATCTTACGGTTGATATTAGAAGTTTAGACAGGAATTCTTCAAATTCAGTGACGAGTAATAAATCAACCTATATAAATTTCCATTCAACTATTTAAAATTTTCTAATATTATATAAGTCAAGAAATTGAAGTAAAGAAGTACCGATAGTTTAATAATAGAATCTTCGGAGATATATATTGAATTGACAGTAAATAATTGTGAATTTTCTAAAGTCTAAGTTTTTTTTTAAAAAAAAAATCGTTAGTAAAAATTTTATAATGTTCAATTTAACGTCGAGAACCTACAGTAGACATGCTTCTGTCTCTAGTATTTTTTTGACCGTTTAAGAAAGAAACATAACTAATTCCTTTTCCAGAACTAGTAGACCTTAAACTAGGGTTGTTCAAAAAAAAAAATCTAGAGAAGAACAAAAAAAAAAACACTTCTATTTTAAGTCTTGCCGGTTTTCTTTTTTCTTATTGCCGAAATTTTGAGTTTTGTTTGTAAAATTAGAGAAATACCAAGTAAGCCATGAGTATATCAGATATATTAAATATAAAATAAAAACGTTTCTAAACGACACCTACTATATTGTTAAGTGTTTCTTCTTAGTAAGGGGTTTTTTTTGAACCTAATTATCATATAAACTTTAAATTTTCAAGAAAAAAAAGTCGTCAGTAAAAATTTTACGTTTTTATAATACTCAATTTAACGTCGAGAACATAGACGTGCTTCTGTCTCTAGTGTTTTTTTTTTTTTTGACTGTTTAAGGAAGAAACATAACTAATTCCTTTTCAAGGACTAGTAAACCTTAAACAGAGGTTGTTCAAAAAAAAAAAAAAATCTAAAGAACCGAAAGTTCAAATCTTGTTTGTAAAATTAAAAGAAACAAAAGAAATACCAAGTAAGACTATGAGTATATATTAAATATAAAATAAAACATTTCTAAACGACACCTACTAATATTGTTAGGTGTTTCTTCTTAGTATTATATCTCCGTATCTTGCTTGTGTGAATTTTTTTTTTTTGAAAACATGTGATCACCAAAACACATACTTACATCACCAAAATGATTATTATTGGCTAATTTACGTGGATCGTGACAATACTTGTGTTACACTACTACACGCTTTATTTTTATGATATTGTTTTTTACTCTCACACGTAAAAAAATAATATATAAATATAATATTGTTGCATTTCAATAATCATATTGTAAAAAATAACATATAAACACCGTTTGTTCGAAAGCGAAAAAAAAACATTTGAGTGGCATGCGCAGCGCTAATGATAATTTTCTCACCACATCTTTATATGACCAAGCGCATTATAACTAAGCAATCCACATTACAGCTATGCAATTCGCGCAAGAGATAGAGTATATATTTTACCTGGAATTTCAAAAACTGCCTAAATTCACTAGAATCACCAACAAATAATTTACTTATTTCCAAATAAATTCTAAAATCGTTACACATATCTGATATGCACAAAATTATTTTTTCTTGCACATTCAAAATTTATATTGATATAGAGAATGATTTATTATTAATGACCAATAAAAAAAATAGTATAGTTACTAATAATTATGCTTATATATTAAAATAGTTGAGATTATACCGAATATGTATATATTTAACTATTATAAAACCCGATCAATGAAATAGAGCCGAATAAGCCCTAATCAAAGAGCATCTTTAATTTGCTATTAGAAAATATCAAACATTTATTTAATTTAATTTAAGGCTTGTCCGTAGACTTGGCGAAACTATATACGTTGTACGTAGTACTGTATAATTTGCTGTTACTTATGGTTAAAAATTTTTGTCGTTACTTCGTTCACTACATTTTAAAACGATTTGCACTATTACAGTTGATGAATTTCTCAACTGTTGTGCCTGCAAACATAAATTCTTTCTAAAGTCTAAAAGAAAATTACCTGCAAATATTAAAGACTTTTTTTTCAAACCGTTAAAATAATCACAATCAGTATTATATAATCTATACTGCTTAAAATTATTACTGCCAATTGAGAAGATATGATTTGTTGATTTTTAAAGTGTTAGAGTATACAGTCATGAAAAAAGAAATTTGACCTAAAATATCTGTTACGAAAGAAGCATAGTGCAGAATATAAAATTTAAAGTACCATTTTTACTTTGCATGAACGAACATCAGTGAAATGCCAAATAGTAATTTATATAAATTATTATAGCCAGATATTTTAAAGTATCAATAATCATGGAATTTGATAATTGTTTGACTAATGACATAGTTTCAGGTGATGAAGGGTCGTTGGTAGAAACCATTAAAGATATTTTAATTTGCTGAAGAGAGTAAATCGTCTGTTTTTGCACGAATAAAATAATATACAAAAAATTAGATGCATTAAATACAAAAAAAGAGTTATTATAAAGTACATACACTAAATGGGTTAGACATTATTTTGTTGATTTTATGATATTCTTCTGATTTTCCTCGGAGCCTTCGAAGAGAGTCTTCTTTTCTTTTCAATTTTTCAAGATATTTGTCGTTTAGTCTAATTAAATCAAATTTAATGTAAGCTTGACAACATTAATCTTTTACAATAATAATTTATTAGACATTACCTCGTTCGCTCAGCGAGCTCGTATCGTAATTGAGCCAATAATAATTGATGTTCTTGCTGTTTACTATCATTATCTTCAGATGGAACAGGAAGATATTGTTCCGGCGCAATTTGCTTAAATTCATCAACAGGTATTAAC